AGAGGAAAGAGGGAGAGAAAGGAGAGGAAAGAGAAAGGAAAGTGAGAGAGGAAAGAGAGAAAGAGGAAAGAAAAAAGATTGAGAAAAGAGAGAGAGGAAAGAAAGAGGAAAGAGAAGAGAAAGAGGAAAGAGAAATAAAGGAAAGAGAGAGGAAAGAGAAAGGAAGGAAAGAGGAAAGAAGAAAAGAGGAAAGAAAGGAGAAAGAGAGGAAAAAGAAAGTTAGAGGAAAGAGAGAGAGAAAGAGGAAAGAGAAAGAGAGAGAGGAAAGAGAAAGAGGGGGAGAGGAAAGAGAGAGGGGGGAGAGGAAAGGGAAAGGAAAGAGAGAGAGAGAGAAAGAGGAAAGAGAGGGAGAGGAAAGAGGCATACAATAATTCATTTGCATTTAATTGTAATGGTTCAAAGAATGTTTGGAAAAATGTTCGGCCCTCCAGCACGTTCACTTCATCCAATCTGGCCCTCTTTGAAAAAAGTTTGGACACCCCTGGGCTATATCATGGATCTCACTTATGGATGTTAGATTGTTTTACAAATGTATTTTAATTCTATCTTAAACTTTACTTTGTTTATTATCTGCATTTGTCTATCATGGTAACTTGAATGAATGAAATAAGATTGTAAGCTGAGGACCTCTTGTATCTAATTTACAAATCAGTCCTTTGTGCTAGTTTGCTATTTAAACATGCAGCCTAGCTCCTGCATTGATCTAGGTAAATAGCCAAAAGGAGATTAATCTTTCACTACACAAAATTGGAAATGAAAAAAAAAATATTTTTGAAGCAAATCATTTTAAAGTGAAACAAGCAAACTATTGTCAGTAGAAAATCACCGCAGTCAGAGGCTGAAGGAAACAAGGTGAAGGAAATTCTGTGTGCTCGGGCATCTTTGCTGAGTGATTTTCCCCCCTTTGCAAATAGCAAAAATAAGTTCATTGTTTGAAAACTTCGTTCTTGTATAATGAGATAAGAAGAGCAGAGTTTTAAATATATATTTTAAACCAGTAATGCACATGTTTATCTTGGGCCATGTTAAATGTTGAATTGTTAAAACTTGTGTTAGGCACCTTTTACAAAAAATAAGAAAGGCCCTCTTGTGGTCATGGAATTTAATGTAAAGCTAGTATAGTGACATTATTTCTGCATTTGAATATTTATGATTATTGAGTGTGCATAGAAGTTTTTTCTCTAGATAGTTGGAGACCTCGGGTTTAAATCAGTAATAGTCTGAATAAATTGTTTGACTTATATTAGTATATGATGTTACTAAGATACTTCCATTAGATTTGCCACTCTGCCATTGATGGTAGTAATACACATTTGAAAATACTTAATCCATAGTGTATGTGGAGACAGAGTACAGATAATTTCTCTTGAAACAGACTTTAAATCCCATGTCGTGCACTGTCTAAACATTTGTCTTTCCTTTCTCTCTGCAGCCCAGTGACTTTTCAGTATCTCTAAAGGCTTCAGGGAAGAACAAACATTTCAAGGTGCAGCTGGTGGACAATGTCTATTGCATTGGGCAGCGTCGATTTAATACTATGGATGAGTTGGTGGAACACTACAAAAAGGCTCCTATCTTCACCAGTGAGCACGGGGAAAAGTTATATCTTGTCAAAGCACTTCAGTGACATTGAAGATGGACTAGGCCTGCTGGGGTCTTTTGTAACTTAAAAGCCTTAGGTCCTCAATCACTTTTATAGAGCAGGGCACTCTGCACCAGACACAACTGTCAGTGAATGGTCTCTTTCTGAGTATTTGCTCTGTTGGTTATATTCTCTTTTCCTCCTTGCTTTTCTCTACCCCCATTTTTGCCTATTAGTCTTTTTAAAAATTAAGTTGTTTTGAATCCCCTCAGGTTGAAATTTTCACTTAGGTGCCATTGTAAGCACTCGTTTTATTTCCTGGGCTCTTAACTCTTCTATGTATGTTTACAGAGTTAATCCAGAAAAAGGAGGGGTATTCTCAAGTGAGAAACAGTGTTATCAGACGGCTCCTGATGGCAGAAATCATCATTGAGAGACTGGGCACAGTTGAATGCGCTGAACCTGCAGCTAACTAAGTGAAATAATAGTAGACATAATGGTTGTGGCTGTGAGTTCTGTAGCTATTCTGCTTACCAAGTAATATATTTCTAAAATTCCTAGTTTCTAGAAGCACTCTTCCCAAACTCTACTACAACTATTACATAGCTTTTTGGCTCTTTGTGAAGAGTACACTAACTAAAAGCATTTTGTAATAGTTCTTCTTAAACTACTACGGTATGATTGTAGTAAAGAAAACTATCTAGCATATTTTGACATGTAATTTCAACCAAGATGTTTCATTGAAAGTTGATTACTTAGAGAATCATTGAATTGTAATGGTTGAATGTTTTGGTATCTACAACCAGATGTGCCATCCACATAATGCTTTTTCTTCTTGCCCTTCTGCTTGTTTGAATTAAACAGTTATGTATTTAATTCTTAAAGTAATATGTATCTGTAGCCAATTGACACTAATACAGAAGTTTGATAAACATAGCTAATTATGGGTGGGTGGGGCTTCCAGCACATACATACATACATACATACATACAAACATACATACATACATACTTATAATATATATATATATATATATATTTACATAACAGAAAAAAAATCAGGGTTTACAGAAGGTGGTGTGATTGGTAGTAAGACACACAGAATGTTATATGAAGAAAATGCGTTTCTTTTGTGTTTCTTTTAACCTCCTTATGGTTTTAAATATAGTATTGATGGCACATTCCTGAAAATATTAAAAAAGGACCTTGTTGATCCTGAAAACTTGCATACCTCCCCCACCCTACTTTTTTGATATTGTAATAAAAAGGTATCATGTGAAGATGGAGTATTGCATTTATCCTTGATAATGGCATTGGCAGTAGTATCATTGTCAAATCAGTGCAAAGATAGCATTTCCTCTTTACATAAATCTGGACAAATCAAATATTTTATAGTTTTCCTTTGTTGAAATAGCATGGATTTCATTAACAGTTAATTTTTAATGAACAATTTTTATTAAAAGATGTTATAAAGATTTTAAAAGCTACAAAAACATAAAAGACGAAATAGGGGGGAAAAGATAATAGGGTAAAAGAAAAAATCAATGGCAAAAACCCCAAGAAAAATATCTGACTTCTGATCACCTTTGCAGCAATTACAGCATCTCCACTCTCACATTGCATATCAAAGCTCCCTTCTTCCCATAAACAAATTTTTTTAATCAATCCTGAAATCAGCAGTTCATTTTTGTCCATTTTCGGCAAAGTGTCTATAAAGGGTTTCCAGTGTTTCTAAAAGTAGTTGTAGTCCCTTAATAAAACAAATCAATGTAGCCATCTCTGCAAACACAGCCACCTTCATAATCCATTCCTCCATTATTGGTATTTCTGTGGTCTTCCATCTTTGTGCATATAGTTGCCTCACCTCACCATGGATAAAACCAATTCTCCATGAGCCTTTTCAGTTGATTGTCTAATAAGTTCTAATAAGAAAAGGTCTGGTTCCTAAAACTCTGCATCACTAAATGTATTTGTGTCCAATATATTTTTACTTTTTCACAACTCCACCATGCATGGTAAAATGTCCCTTCATGTTTTCCACATTTCCAAAAATGATTAGAAGTAACTTTACACAGAACCACTGAACTATATTTTTCAAAGATCTTGGAGCACCGGGGAACTACCAGAGGACTGGAAAAGAGCTGATGTAGTTCCCATCTTCAAAAAAGGAAAAAAAATGGATCCAGGAAATTACAGACCTATAAGCCTGACCTCAATACCTGAGAAGATTCTGGAAAAGATAATCAAACAACATATCAGCGAACACCTAGAGGCAAACAAAATCACTACTAAAAGCCAACATGGGTTTGTCAAAAACAGATCATGCCAGACAAACCTTATTGCATTCTTTGAGCAAGTGACAAAATTAGTGGATCAGAGGAATGCTGTGGATATAATTTACTTGGATTTCAGTAAGGCATTTGATAAAGTAGATCACAACCTACTACTTGCTAAGATAGAAAAATGTGGGTTAGACAGCATCACCACCAGATGGATTCGTAGCTGGCTGACCGGCCGCACTCAGCGTGTGGTCCTCAATGGAACTGCATCTACATGGAGGGAAGTGTGTAGTGGGGTGCCCCAGGGCTCTGTTCTAGGCCCAGTGCTCTTCAACATCTTCATCAACGATTTGGACGAGGGGATAGATGGGGAACTCATCAAATTTGCGGATGACACCAAGCTGGCAGGAATAGCCAACACTCCAGAAGACAGGCTTAAGATACAGGAGGA